ACAGGTATATACTTGATTTTACCCGGTACTGACACTACGCAGTCCAGTTTGAAGTAGTTACCCATCTCATAAATTAATTTTTACCACATTGCTGAACTCAGGCTTCGACCTAGTATTTGATTTCATTATTCCGATACTTTTATCCCGAACTGAAATCAGATTCGTGGAAACTGACAAATCAGATGCTGACTGACGCATACTTCGAACGTCGTTCCACGGAGGTTCATATATCGGATTTGAAATCCGTTTGCGTTTTTGGAACCATTGAACTTAAAACTATTATTAGCCAAGTACTCTTTTAATTGATTAATAAAATAATAATAGAAAATAACAATTAAATAATCATAAAAAAAATAATGATAAATGCAAATCAAATAAAAGTAATATTTGGGACTTTATGGAATAAATCTATTTATCTTGAATAACTATTGTCTAGGAGGCAAACTTGTAATTTCTGCAACTACTTTGGTAAATATATATGGGATTATGGTAGATTTAGTTAGGATGCCAAATACCAGGGATCATTTTTGCCAAACTCGGAATATAAGTCATCTTCCTGATGTGTGTGAAACGAACTAGTTTTAATCCTACTTTTTAAATATAAATTTAACACACAAAAGGCAGTATACCTGTCAATTGGTGTTATAATTAAGCAAGCAGGGTATCGAACACAGGGAACGGCAAATTACACTAACTACTAGAATTATCTAAAAAGCAAATAATAAAAGGAAAGGTTTTCTCTAGTTTTGCAAGACTAGAAACTTAGACAATTAACTAAAACTTAAACTACCAACTAAGCAAGCAAAGATCAACTAAATTCAATAATAAAGAAGACTTCTGTTTAGGTTTCAATCCTTTATTCCTATGGTTGATTTTATGGCAAGTGCAATGGATTAACTTTTCATTGGCTACCGATTAGTGTGATTAGGTTCACGTTCGCTATTTCTAATCCTTAGAAAACAAATCAATTCAAAAAGTGGCCAGTTGGTTAAATTAACAGGTTTTCTAGTTTATTGATTCGGGTTAAGTAAAACTTGTAGTGGTTAATTAAATTGGTCGTTCAATTAACCTCTTGCTGATGGTTCGTCACACAAGCTCACACATTAACTTACCTATTCTCTATTAACCCTAGTTTCACGTTCGCTATTCCTAGGCATATAACAATGTTTTCACATAAATCATATGAGATTAGCAATTAAGAGATGGTCATACAACTTAATATACTGGTTAATTAACAGAAGAATAATTATAATTAACACATAAGGTTCTTTAACAAGCTTAACAAAACATAATCACCAAATTAAAGTAATCCAACCATAAAATCATACCATAATCATAAAGTCATCTATCCTAAACAGAAGATAATAGTTTTAGCTCATGATTACAGTAAAACTAAGATAAAAAACGAAGTCAAGTAGCTCAAACATAGTTCAACTTAAAGAATAAGTAAGAATGGACTTGAATTTGCCTTGATTCTTCTCAAAATTGGATCTAGGGTTGATTCTCTGACTTCCAGCGCCTTAGCAGGTCTTCTAATCGCAGCTTTCCTCCAAGGATTTATTCTCTTCACCCCAAAAGTCTCGTGTCGATCTGAAAGACCTTTTTTTTATAGATTAGAGGCGACTCGTCGAGTCCAGTAACTGACTCGTCGAGTATCTCATTAAATCCCCGTGTACGGCGGCAAGGACGCTTCTGCTTCGAGAATGTTCGTGGGAAATCTTCAAGTCAAGGGTCAACTCGTCGAGTCCTTCTTGGTTTTTGGCGCTTTTCTTCTTTCTTCGATTCCCAAGCTCCCGATAGCTTCTCCTGCTTCCTTTTGCTTCCGAGCACTTCTTTTGAACTGAAAATATAATTTAAACGTAATTAAGCATCTTTTGTTCCATAATTGCAATAAATTAGCCAAAAAGTATTAATATTCTATACAAAATATATGACTAAATATGCACATATCAAATTACCCCACACTTGACTTTTGCTTGCCCCCAAGCAAAACTGGATTTTAAACATACTAACATCACATAAAACAATCCTAATCAAACCCAACCATTTTGCCAAGACCTCAATGCATGCATTTGTGTCTAAAATTTTTCCTAAAGAACCCCCATACTCTAAATACTCACAATCCTCATAAACACTTGCCCACTTCTTTCGAACAACGCTCATTTTATGCATCCCTCCGAATCAATCCTCAGAAAACTTTTTTAACCTCAATATATTTTTGTAAAGCTACCCAAGCATACATAATCTAGAGAACTACAACTTTTAGATACCACAATGGAGCTCTTGAATTCTTCACTTTCTTTGATATTTGATCTTCAATTTGTACTTTGAATTCATCACTTTTTTGTGTGATTTTTGGTATCTTCAACTTTTGAATTTCTTCAGAATTTTTGATCTTTGATCTTTAAACTTGATAGCTCTAAAAATTCTAACAACTTTTTGGTAATTTCTCTCTTTTTTTTTCTTTTCATGTATATATCACTTTTTTTTCACTCAAAACCTAAATGCTTAATCAGGGGTGCTTAACTTCAACCCTTATTGGTTAAGATACAAGCCTTCCTGGATAGATTTCTGGTACACGATGCTAAACATATTGCGACCCTCAAACTAAGCGAGGTTGTGTTTTTGTTCCATGATTTCACTAGAATAAGGGAGGCCACAAATGCATTATAACATATATTGGCTCAACTAAACATTTGGGTCCTCATAGAATCATAAAACATAATACTAGCATGAATCCTAATTGTTTTTTACCATAATTTTCTGAATTAATCCTAGCAATTTTAATGCAATTTTTTTTAAAATTAAGCCCAAATTAAGATTCTAATGTAACCAACCCCTACCCCACACTTAATTCATGCAATGTCCCCATTCCATGCCATGCATGATAAAGAAAAACACAAAAGCAAAGAGGGAATTGGAACGAACTCCCCTGGGATAGTAGTGGCGAGGTTGATATTTCTTCTTTTGAGCTCCATCTTCAGCTGACTTTGGCATGGGAACAGCTCATCCATGCCTTGGGCGTCATATCTCGTGTGGTTCATAGCTCTAAAAAAAATGCAGGAAAGACTCTCGGAAATCTTCAGGAATTGATCTTTATAAGTGCAGCTAATTGTCGTGTGAAATAATCATCAAATCATAAGCTTGAGAGGTAAAATACGTATCAACTCGTCGAGTGCGGTATGTGACTCGCCGAGTTGTAGCGCGAAAAGGCAGAATCCGTGAAATTACACTGAGACTCGTCGAGTCAGTAAGTGCACTCGGTGAGTCCATCGCTGGGTGGAAAATTTTATATTCTGCTCCAAAGTTGATTCTGATGTGTTCGGAAACTGATCACTTGAGACTCTCCCATTTTTTTCCTTCAGTATTTAGACAAATTCTAACTGTTTTCTTGACCGGACTCTAAACTCGGAATCCATTCTCTCTCGCCTAGACTCGACACTTCTATCACTCTCGAGACCCTTTGCATGCAAACCCTTTATCCCTAAATTCCTAAATTATCCCTAAATCCTAGAAGTTAGAAAAATGAAAAAGAAAAGCAAACTCTAATGACGGGTTGCCTCCCGCAAGCGCTATCTTTTGTGCGAGTCTTTAGCTGGACTCTCAACTTAATAAACTTCCAATAAACTCGATGCCAATCCATCCGTTGCATTGAATATTTTCTTTGGACCAATTTGTGAAATTTTACGCTTTGCTTCTAAAATTGGCCAGATGAGCTTGAATTTATACAACCCAAGAATCTTGAAAAGGGTTGGAACCGGTCGGGTACTAATCAGAAATGGATCGCACTTTAGAACTTTCTCCAAAGATGGAATCGGCACCCCATGCTTCGAAACACAAACCGGAAGAATAGGGGGGCACGTCGTGGTAATGGTCAAACCGCGGCTTGGTTCCTACAACTCAGCTTGTTCTTGTTCTTCGTCTGACCCCTCCGCCAACAACCTTTCCAACTCCTCCAAGTCTCTTTCTGGATTAAATTCTTCATCTTGTAACTTTAGCTCTTGTGACTCAGATTTCTCTTGTGTGTTAGGCAAGATGTTATCTAACCATCTTCCAAATTCCTTCAAATCATCATCTGAGTCATACTCCTCATCTTCTTGCTCAATTTCCTGTACTACTTCCTCAAGAAAAACATCAAAAGCATCGAGATTTGGAAAATACATAATAAATATTAAAACAAAAAAAAATTCGTAACTTTATATGAGATAAATCTCACACAAAGGATCGATAATAGTAGTACTTAAAATAAATTTTAGAACCGTTCCCCAGCAACGGCGCCAAAAACTTGATGTGTGTGAAACGAACTAGTTTTAATCCTACTTTTTAAATATAAATTTAACACGCAAAAGGCAGTGTACCTGTCAATTGGTGGTATAATTAAGCAAGCAAGGTATCGAACACAGGGAACGACAAATTAAACTAACTACTAGAATTATCTAAAAAGCAAATAATAAAAGGAAAGGTTTTCTCTAGTTTTGCAAGACTAGAAACTTAGACAATTAACTAAAACTTAAACTACCAACTAAGCAAGCAAAGATCAACTAAATTCAATAATAAAGAAGACTTCTGTTTAGGTTTGAATCCTTTATTCCTATGGTTGATTTTATGGCAAGTGCAATGGATTAACTTTTCATTGGGTATCGATTAGTGTGATTAGGTTCACATTCGCTATTTCTAATCCTTAGAAAACAAATCAATTCAAACAGTGGTCAGTTGGTTAAATTAACAGGTTTTCTAGTTTATTGATTCGGGTTAAGTAAGACTTGTTGTGGTTAATTAAATTGGTCGTTCAATTAACCTCTTGCTGATGGTTCGTCACACAAGCTCATATATTAACTTACCTATTCTCTATTAACCCTAGTTTCACGTTCGCTATTCCTAGGCATATAACAATGTTTTCACATAAATCATATGAGATTAGCAATTAAGAGATGGTCATACAACTTAATATACTGGTTAATTAACAGAAGAATAATTATAATTAACACATAAGGTTCTTTAACAAGCTTAACAAAACATAATCACCAAATTAAAGTAATCCAACCATAAAATCATACCATAATCATAAAGTCATCTATCCTAAACAGAAGATAATAGTTTTAGCTCATGATTACAGTAAAACTAAGATAAAAAAACGAAGTCAAGTAGCTCAAACATAGTTCAACTTAAAGAATAAGTAAGAATGGACTTGAATTTGCCTTGATTCTTCTCAAAATTGGATCTAGGGTTGATTCTCTGACTTCCAGCGCCTTAGCAGGTCTTCTAATCGTAGCTTTCCTCCAAGGATTTTTTCTCTCCACCCCAAAAGTCCCGTATCGATATGAAAGACCTTTTTTATAGATTAGAGGCGACTCGTCGAGTCCAGTGACTGACTCGTCGAGTCTCTCATTAAACCCCCGTGTACGGCAAGGCAATGACTCTTCTGCTTCGAGTATGTTCGTGGGAACTCGTCGAGTCAAGGGTCAACTCACCGAGTCCTTCTTGGTTTTTGGCTCTTTTCTTCTTTCTTTGATTCCCAAGCTCCCGATAGCTTCTTCTGCTTCCTTTTGCTTCCGAACACTTCTTTTGAACTGAAAATATAATTTAAACGAAATTAAACATCTTTTGTTCCATAATTGCAATAAATTAGCCAAAAAGTATTAATATTCTATACAAAATATATGACTAAATATGCACATATCACTTCAGACATGATACGCGTCTGATTTCTTTCACCATCTTGGCACCTGATGCAATGGCATCTTAGAAAGTAAATTGTCTTAACCCCTACATTGTAATCCATTTGACTATTTGATCAGATCCTTCCATTCCTTTGTCAAAAGAAAATCCCAAAGTGGTACCTTGTGCCGCCATTGCTAGGGTTTCAGGAAGACTAAACAACCAAACACCCTACCTTCCTTCTCTTCTCCGTTTCTGCCAAGAAAGCGCCACCGGAGGTGAGTGATTTTCCGGTGAACCCAAGGTCGTAGTCTCCTCGCATGTGGCCCTTCGTTCTTTCAAAGATCAACCGTAGATACCCCACCTCGGTCATTGTTCCTGATGCGCGACTCCAAAGTCGGTGACGAGAAAAGAAACAGAAGAAATGAGCCCCAGAGCAGCCCCCTCGATGGCTCATGTCGATTTTCACCACTTGTACCCTCCTCCTGCGAACGGACAAACAACAACCAAGCCACCTCCTTTAATCGAATTTAGTTTGCTTTCCTCCCTGATCTGACGAAGAAAATGACCCGATAGAAGATGAAGGTCCGTTGGAGATCGCTGCTCTCGTGTTTGCCTTCGATCTTCTCTCTTCTTCAGCCAAGATAAGTGTTGATGACGTTCCTCCGATCAACAGTGAACCAGAGGTGCAACTCCCTTCCTGCCTCCGTTCTTCCTTCCTTCCCATCGATCAGCCAAGCACTGAAGGTGCTAGTCCTTTCTCTTTTACCCACGATCAACCAAGAAATCAGGACCCATCTCCATTTTTTTTGTTTCGATTCCTGCAAATCACGATCAGGTGGAAGGACCTCTAAAATTTAACCTAATTTGACCACCAGTGTTGCTTCCATTGTTAAATTCGACCACCACCTTGTGTTCCTTGAACTGAGAGAGGTGCCGGAGATCTCGACAACAAATCAACAACCACTGGACACAATTTGATGTTCCCCTCATGTTTCTATTTTGACCAGGCAAGGGTTAAAGGAACCCAAACCTTGTTTTAAATTAAACAAAACCAACCCTCCCTTGATTAATTTTATCAGAATCAATCCCAACCCCCAAAACCTAATTCCATTTATTCAAAAACAACCCCTCCCTTGGTATTTATCACCAAAATCAATCCCCTCCTCGAAAAGCTTGATTTATTTTTAACACAACAACCCCTTCCTTTGTTTATTTTTAACCAAATCACTCACTTTTTGGTTAGTTAAATAACAAAACAACCACTTTTGGTTTAACTCACTACTAAACAAACCCGATGGTGTATTTTGGCTTAAGAATGTGTAAATCTCAGTTTTCTCGAAGAAGCTTTCCAAAAACGAAAATGATCACATCAACAAGTCTAAAGTACATTCACGCTTCGAGGGTGAGTGTTACGGCCCTTTTTTAACGTTTTGTTATTTTGGGGGAGAATACATCGTATATCAAATATGAAAATGCATGCTAAATTTATAATCTAATTATGATTGACATTTTTGACAAAATAATATATCGTACACAAGTTTTTATCATGACGTACATATGTTTTAGTGATTTAAAACATGTTACAACTAGAAAAGGTATCTTATCATTTAAGCATATAATACTATGATTTTACATGGCAAATTTGCATATCATAAATTATATGTCATAAGATCTTTATGATTTCATGTGATAAATGCATGTCATAAAACATGTACAACAAATTTTTGTCAACTTTGTATCGTTATATCTATATCCTACATGTATTTATACATATGTTGAAAATGTATGTATAAACTATAAAACTCATGTCTCAGAATTTATACATGCACTTGGAAAACTTACCATATATTTAAGCGAGTAAAAAATGTTTCTACGGATACATCGAACTTACTCGGCTTTTATAGGGAACCTTATCGTATATCATAGTTAATGGCCTTTATAGTGAGACATTATTCATTACCTAAGTTCAACCACTTAGTGTTCCCATTCGGCTATAATCGTTAATCCTCGGAGTAAGATACGTATGTATAGATCTATAAGGGTTGAAACCCCCACCCGTAGTTGCTAGCTACAACCTCGACGGATCAATCGAAGTGGTGATAATTATCTTTAGTTTATCCACAATGTCCAATGAAGCATCGTAAGGGGTTATATCTAGTCACATAGCTCGGTTATAGAACTCACTATACGTATTAACCAGACTCTTTATCTAGAAACCACATATTTGGTTTCTCTGTTTATCAAACATTTTGAGTAAGGATTTACTCATGACTTCTCTAGAAACCACGGATTCGGTTTCTCTGTTTATCAAACATTTTGAGTAAGGATTTACTCGTGGTTTCTCGAGAAACCACGGATTCGGTTTCTCTGTTTATCAAAAGTTCTGAGTATGGATTTACTCATGCTTTCTTTGTTATCAAACATTTTTAAGTATATATTTACTTATGGTTTATCTTTTTATCAAGCATTTTAAGTATGGATATAATTATGGTTTATCTTTTTTATCAAACATTTTAAGTATTTATTTACTTATAGTTTATCTCTTTAACAAACATTTCAAGTATGGACATACTTATGATTTATGTCATTATCAAACATGTTTTTAACTACAAATGGAATACTCCTTAGACTTTTAATATATCATTACTGCGGTTAGCAGAAAACCTGTAACTCTCACCAACCTTTGTGTTGACTCTCAAATTACATGTATTCTCAGGAGATCATTGAACCAGTTTTTAGTAGAAGAGACGTTTATGGATTTCAGGAAACCTAGTTTTATCTAGCTTTTTGTAACGCTTGGAAATGAAGATGTTCCTAGTTGCCCTTCGAAATTGGAAGAATTGCATGTTTCTCCCTAGTAAGTAGTACGTGGGGCGTACAATAGGGTACACTTAGTGTATTAGATGGGAAGCTGGTACGCAGGGGGGGTACCTCATGTGTACGCTTAGCGTACTGATGGTAGTTGGTCGCGGGTCCGAAGCCTCGTACTTTGGGCGTACGAGGAGTATGCGGGGCGTACGAGGGTGAGATAAAAAACCCTAAAATTTTAAGTTGTACCCGATATATGCTTTATGTTTGCCTCTTTTGATCATTTCCTAGCCAGCCTCCATATCCTAAAAACCCTAATTCGTTCCATAGTCCATGTTTGGTGATCTTGAGCTCTTGTGAGGTTTTGTGGATCTAGAAAGAGAAGAAGAAGCTTGAAGACTTGTTCTTTCGAGGAAGGCTTTGAGTTCCAGCATTAACATCTTCTTTTGGTGGCTTGGAAGGTATAAAGTTCAAACCTTGCCATTTCATTTCATGGATCTACTTCTTAGCTCATTTTTAGTCCTTTTGGTTGGTAATTGTAAAACCCAATTTGTATATCAATCTAAAACAACTCAATTGGTGCGGAATCCCAACCAAGTTGACTAGCAATAAATCGATTAAGAACATGGATGAATGATCTCAATGCACAATATATTCGATAATAGTCAAGTACAATGAAATCTCACAAACTCTCGGTTCTCTCTAGCTTTCTCTAAATTCTGAATCAACAACCTTTACAATGTACCCGATAAGCAACTATTTATAGCCAAACTAAACCCCAATGTTAAGCCCAGTCCACATACCGAAATCTATTAAGGCCCACCAAAATCCCTTAGCGATTTCGGTCCAAACACAATCGAAATCTACCTGTTCTCGGTCCAAACCGAGAATACACAATGTTGTATAAAGTAAAGTATAAACCACCTAAATAATGTCCTAACAATCTCCCCCTTGGTTTATAACTTTCTTTTCTTTACAAACTTGGCACACCCCCAAACCAGAACGGCGGAAACGTTCGGGGGCGGAGGAATTCATGTAAGTATCACAACACATGCAATATAGTAATCAAAGTACAAACAACCATTGCATTAATAAGTATAAGTTTTACATAAGTGTTTAAACATTACATATTCAAACACCAAAGTAGGTATGGTAGAAGACAAGAGTCGCGGTACGGTACTAGGTAGTCTTCTCAAAAGCTTCAGGAGTGTACCTGTCTATTGGATTCCTGAGAATACAACTTATTTTGAAAGAGTAGATCAACATTTAAGCTGGTGAGTTCATAAGTATTTTAGTTCTATAAAAGTATACTCTAAGTTCTTTGGAAAAGTTCGTTGGTTCCTCCAGAAAATCCTATATTTCCTGAGGTGATAAACTGATAACCTCAATAGTTCCCTCTGCAATTACTTAGTTTATACTAATATATATAACCTAATATCGAATGGACAGTTAAATGGGTGTATCTGCCCTAAGCCCACAACCAAACAAGAAACAAGAAGTAAGGCGAAAGTCACACATTTCACTGTCAATCGAATATTACTTATGTATAACTCTGATGTAAAAACCAAGGAATTATAGAATTAACCACTAAAGGTCCTTTATGTTATACTAGTTTACAGAGAGTGAATGACTAAGTTCCAATTGTAAAACTAGTCTAATCCCATAAACCGTTTCATTTGTAAAAGTAGTTTAATCCCATAAACCGTTTCATTTGTAAAAGTAGTTTAATCCCATAAACCGTTTCATTTGTAAAAGTAGTTTAATCCAACAAATTGTTTCATTTGTAAAATTATTCTTAGTTATATCCGTTCTACAGTAAAACATTAGTATTAATCCTGGAAAATATTATATTATCCATAATACTGCTTTGTGGTTTTAAATGTTCCAAAACCAGAAGTACAAGTATATTTGCCATACTTGATTTCATGATACGTAGTTTTTACTGTAAGTAAAAACTAACAAAAGGTATATTTGGTTAGGATGTAATTATCTTTTCTTACTGTTTTAAGAGAAGTATATTGATGTGTGTAAACTCAACTAGTTTTAATCCTACTTTTAATTATGAAATTGACACACAAAGGCAGTGGACCTATCAATTGTGGTGTAGTTAAATAAGTAGGGTATCGAACTCAGGGAACGGAAAATTAAAACTAAAAACTAGAATTAACTAAAAACAAGTAATAGAAAATAGGGGTTTCTCTAGTTTTGCAAGACTAGAAACTTAACTAAAACTTAACTACTCAACTAAAAGCTGAAAACACGTAAAAAAAACTAAATTCAATGATCAAAAAGGGTTTCTGTTTAGGTTCAACTCATTTACTCCTATGGTTAATTTTTATGATAATATAATAGATTAATTGTTATTGGTTACCGACTCTGGTGATTAGATTCGCATTCGCTATTACTAATCCTTAGAAAACATACCAATTCAAACAATGGCCAGTTGATTAAACTAATAGATTTCCTAGGTTAATTATTCGGGTTAAATAAGACTTGTAGCTAGCTAATTAAATTTGGTGATTCAATTAACCTCTTGTTGATGGTGTATCATACAAGCTCACACATTAATTTACCCATTCTCTAATTAATCCCAGTTTCATGTTCATTATTCCTAGGCATATAGTATTGTGTTCACATAAATTATATGAGATAAGCAATTAAGAGATGTTCATGCAGCTTAATCACTTAGCAATTAACAGAAAATAGTTATGGTTAATGCATAAGGGTCTTTAACAAGCTTAATTTAACAATATCACCAACTAACAATTAATCAAAAGAGTAAATTAAACCATAGGAGCAAAATTGTCTTCCCCAAACAGAAACTAACGAAATTAGTTCATGATTTCAGTGTATGAAAGCTTAAAAACGAATTCAAATAAACCTAACATAATTTTATTCAAAGGTAAAGTGGAAAAT